CAACCAAATTTCCATTCAAAGGCTGCCATGAGACTTCCAATTTTTCAACAAAATTGGGCTGCCATGAAATTTCCCATGCAACCAAATTTCAAAGGCTGAAATTTGCTTTTTCAACCACCATGCAGAACCCACATGCCGCAACAATCTCCACCTTGGCGAGCATTCGAAAAATAAGATTCAGGACCAATAGCTTCATTCCCTTGATGCCACAATGCCCCAAGGGGCATTAAGCACTTTGGACACTAATCAAGTCCAAGCAATGCTTGAACTTGATTCCACTTACCGGCTTTGTCATCATATCTGTAGGATTCTCGTCAGTTGATATCTTTTCAACGAGCACATCTCCGTTGGATATAACCTCCCAGACAAAGTGATACTGAACTTGAATATGTTTGGTTCTCTCGTGATACATCATGTTCTTCATCAAGTGAATGGCACTTTGACTATCACAAAACACCATCATCTCATTTTGTTCTACCCCGAGATCACTGACCAAACCCTTTAGCCATAATGCTTCCTTTACTGCCTCAGTAATTGCCATGTACTCTGCCTCAGTTGTTGACAAGGCGACTGTTGATTGCAATGTAACTTTCCAACTAATGGCACACCTTGAGAGAGTAAAGACATATCCTGTAGTTGATCTCCTTTTGTCCAAATCGCCGACAAAATCATAGTCGACAAATCCGACTACATTTCCACTTGGATTAGCACTCCGATCATAGACTCGTCCAACATCTACCGTGCCTCGTAAATACCGGAGGATCCACTTCACAGCTTCCTAGTGTCCTTTACCCGGATTAGCCATATACCGACTAACCACACTAACTGCATGTGAAATAATAGGACGAGTACATACCATAGCATACATTAAGCTCCCAACAGTACTCGCATAAGGAACATGCGCCATAAACTTCTTCTCCTCCTCCGTTTCTGGTGACAAATTTGATGAAAGCTTAAAATGTGCTCCCAAAGGAGTAGTCACAGCCTTAGCTTCATGTAAGCCAAACCGCTCAAGTACTTTTTCAATATACTTCTTTTGAGAGAGAAACAATTTACCTCCCTTGCGATCCCTGTGAATCTCCATTCCTAAGATCTTCTTAGCTGCACCCAAGTCTTTCATTTCAAACTCACCACTAAGCTGCTTCTTCAAATCATCAATGATTAACATGCTTTTGGCAGCAATAAGCATGTCATCAACATACAACAGCAAGTAAACCCAAGAACCATCTCCAAGCTTTTTATGATAGACACAACTATCATAGTTGCTCCAAGTGAATCTACTCTTAACCATGAAGTTGTCAAATCGTTTGTACCACTGCCGAGGCGACTACTTCAATCCATATAAGGATTTCTAGAGCAAACAAACATGATCTTCTTTTCATGAGACTATGAATCCCTCTGGCTGAGACATATATATCTGTTCCTCCAACTCACCATGCAGGAAAGCAGTCTTTACATCAAGCTGCTCCAACTCAAGATCATATAAAGTAACCATGGCAAGTAAAATACGAATAGAGCTGTGTTTCACCATAGAAGAGAATACCTCATGGAAATCAATACCCTCTCGTTGTGTGAAACCCTTTGCAACCAATCTGGCCTTGAATCTGGGTGTCTCTACCCCCGAGTTTCCTTCTTTTCTCCTAAAGACCCATTTGCATCCAACAATTCTTTGTCCCTTTGGTGGCATCACAAGCTTCCATGTCTGGTTCTTATGTAGAGACTCAATCTCCTCTATCATGGCAGCAAGCCAATAAGGAGATTCTTTACTGGTAATTGCTTCCCGATAAGTGTTGGGATCCTCAGCCTCCACTGGTTCTATAACTAATAGAGCATAGGCAACATAATTTGTATAGCCATATCTCTGAGGTGGTTTGGTCTCCCTCCTCTGTCTACCAGTAGCAATATTATACTGCTATTGTGTTTATTCAGGTGCCTTCACCTCCATTGGAGTATCTGTTAACTCTGGATCTTGCACCTCATCTAGATTCTCTTGGACAATACTGTCGTCCCACACTGCCTTTTCTGGAGTTATTGCTTCAAACTCCACTTGCTTGCTAACTCCATTGTCTGGCTTTGCAATTATAGACTCCTCTTTTGCTTTTTGGAGCATAGCAAACTCATCAAAGGTTACATCTCTGCTCATGAGGAACTGAGGTGACTTCTGAACACACCACAGTCTATAGCCTTTTACCCCGGAAGCGTACCCTAGAAATACGCACTTCACTGCCCTTGGCTCAAGTTTACCATCCCTAACATGAGCATACATAGGACAACCAAATATCCTCAACTGTGAATAATCAGCAGGAGAACCTGACCATAATTCTTCTGGAGTCTTTAATCCAATTGCTATGGATGGAGACCAACTTACAAGATAACTAGCATGATTGACAACTTCTGCCCAAAAGTCCTTTGATAATCCAGCATTTGAGAGCATACACTGTGCCCTCTCCAAGAGTGTACGATTCATCCTTTCTGCAACATCGTTTTGCTGTGGTGTCATCCTGACAGTGCGATGTCTCACAATTTCATTATTCTTGCAAAAAGTATCAAACTCACCATTACAGTACTCAAGACCATTATCTGTTCTTAGACGCTTGATTTGTTTTCCAGTCTACTTCTCAATCAGCGTCTTCCATTGCTTAAAGGTGAGGAACACGTCACTCTTACTCTTTAGGGTGTATACCCACACCTTTCTTGAATAATCATCGATGAAGGTCAATATATACATAGCTCCACCTTTTGATGCAACAGGTGAGGGACCCCACAAGTCTGAGTGAATGTAATCAACTGTGCCTTGAGTTCGATGAACTCCTTTGCCAAACTGCAACCTACATTGCTTGCCATAAACACAGTGCTCACAAAAGTCTAGTTTGCCAATTTTCTAGCCACACAGAAGACTCCGCTTGCTCAGCTCCATCATCCCTCTTTCACTCATATGCCCAAGTCTCATATGCCATAACCGAGTTACATCATTATTTGGATTGCTTGAAGTTGACACAGCACATGTGCCATTGACTGTGCTTCCTTGCAAGTGATAAAGACCACCAACTTTCTTCCCTTTCAATATTACGAGAGCTCCTTTAGAGACTTTGAGAACTCCACCTATACAGGAGTATCGTCAGCCCTTGGAGTCAAGCTCACTCATGGAAATGAGATTTTTCTTCAAACCCGGCACATGACGAACCTCAAATGTTTTGACCATCCCATCATACATCTTGATCCGGATGTTGCCAATTCCAACAATAGGCAATGCTGTATCATCACCAAGAACTACCGTGCCAGTGGCTGGTTTATATGTTTCAAACCAGTCACGTCGTGGGCATACATGGAATGAGCAACCCGAATCTAAAATCCATTCCTCACCGGAGGAGTTTGTAGAGACAGATAGAACACAATCTCCATCATCTAAATTATCACTACAACTGGCAATGTTGGCATCACTGGATTTTTCAGCTTTCTTCTCCTTGAGCTTGGGATAATTTTTCTTGAAATGTCCCGTCTCATTGCACTCGTAACATCAAGCATGCTTGGCTCTCGATTTGGATTGAGACTTTCCTCACTTGTTGAAAGTTCTGTTATTTTGTCTACCTCTTATGACCAATCCTGCTGCTTGATCATCACTCTTGTCTTCGGACACCTTCTTCTTCAATTCTCTTGAATTCAGGGCCGCCTTGACATCTTCCATAGAGAGTTGATCTCTACTATGAAGATGAGTTTCAACAAAGTTGTCATAAGAGTCAGGCAATGAGCACAAAACAATAATTTCCTGGTCTTCATCTTCTATCTTCACACCGATATTCTTCAAGTCTAAAATGAGCTTGTTGAACTCATCAAGATGGTCTTTGATGGAACCACCTTCATTCATATTAAGGGTGAACAACCGTTTCTTCAGATATAATCGGTTACTGACTGATTTGGTTAAGTAAAGGGCTTCCAGCTTCGACCATAATGCAGAAGCTGAATTTTCTTCTGCAACCTCCCCCAAGACTTCATCAGAAAGTGAGAGCTGAATCGCACTCAGCGCCCGCTCCTTCAAGTCTATCTTCTTTTCCTCTGGTAGAGTTTCCGGTAGCTTGCCTTCCTTTTCTAGTGCTTTCCACAGCCCTTGCTGTATTAGCATGGCCCGCATCTTCAACCTCCATAAGTTGAAATTTTTGCCACCATTAAATTTCTCAATCTCATACTTGGCTCCTGATGCCATCACGATTAAAACAATTTCTCAAGCACTAACCACCGCCGTAGCTCTGATACCAGTTTGTTGGAATAAATTGCTTGAGATTTTGGTTAACCCACTACAAGATTAGGAAATTAATGGAATAAAAAAAAATTGCACCACCACAAGAAAGATAGAAATTACGTGGTTCAGCTCCAATTTAATTGAGTCTACGTCCACGGGCACTCACAAGGAAAAATTCACTATTAAAATAGGGAGATACAATTTGTGGTACTCTCAGAAAAATACCCAATCTCCAATTACATCCAAATCTTATAGTATTTTTGAATGCGAGACACACTCAAAAAAACACTCAGCAAAGTAATTTTAACCACTCTGCTCTTGGTCACCCTCACCCAAAGCACTCACAAAACTCTTGTATTTTCTAGAGCTCACTTTGCTTTGGATTGCTTTTCTTGGTGTGATTTGCCGAATGGCCAAATGGCCTTTTATAGCCAAATGCCAACCACCCACAATGAATGCAATGGGCTCCAAAGTCATCATCCAACCATGC